AGGAACTTGTTACTCACGTCCATGTGATTCTCTGCGGGGGTTTCTGCCCCGGGGATCACATCCGTATTTAGTGTGTGCTGAAATATTCATGTTCCCTGATTAGCTGGGCTTAATTGCTGGATCTTCGTCCCCTCCATGATGTGTCATTAGGACGCAGCCACCTTGAAATGTGAGCAGGGACAGTCAGTCTCTTGCGGTATTTTTATTTTGTATGAATGTGTTTCCAAAACTCTTTGTACATCACTTAATTTTGTGTTGTCATGAAAATCAAACAAGTCAAAATTTGTGTAGTGGGAAATATTGTTGCTAATATTTAATAGTTATAGTTAGAGTATTACAAAGTACATTTAAAGAATTATATATTCCACCGTTCAGATGTTTTTATATTTCAACATCAAGTGGTCAGAATAATCATTATTCACAGGTAGTATTTAAAAAGCACAACTGTTTGTAAGGATGTGGTTTTACAAGGAATTTGGGGACACAGGTATGGATGCCTGCCTTCACAGGTAGTACCCAGACCTTGGATTGGTGACTTGGCACCACCAGCTGTGAATACACCCTTACCTAATGGTGTCCTGATGCTTCCATGATGACGGGGCTTTCCGAGAACTGAATTTCAACTGAGGTTCTGAAAGTAACCCAGAGGCCATTGGCCTGTCAAGAGAATTGGCAGGAAAATTGAAATGAGAAAAGGCTTCTGCTGGCGGAGTTGACCAAGGGCAGCAGAAAGTGATTTGCATGCAGTGTGCAATCTTGTAGATGATGCTTAATGAGTTCTAAGTTTCAAGACTGAACAGCCTTTCTCAGACTCCGACCCAGCAGGTGCCCCTAGCTGGAATCCTAGCAGCAAATAGGAAGCTACCGAATGGGCCAGATTGTATCCATCTGGCAGAGAGTGCTGCCCTTGTGCCAGGGATTTTGTTCTTTGTGTGTCTGAATCAGCGCTCCTGCCGCGTGGAGGGTCTAGGAGGGGGAGCTGAATGCGGCTGCTTTCCGGTGCACTTGTCCCTGCGCCTTGCAAAGACAGCTGGGACATATGCGATCATTCACTACCCACAGAGATAGGACATACAAAGTGATGTGCTGCCAGGCTAAAGCCTGGAGGAGTCTTAGAGATATGACACTCTAAACCCATCCTCAAAGCTTTAGAACAAGAGTATTAGAAGGCAGGGAAAGATGCAGCTCCACAATCAGCTAAGTGCTCCATCGCCTTTCCCTCCCTGCTCCTGCCTGAGGGTACCACAGATCTTGGCACTACACCACCAGTACAGATATTTCTTCTCTACCCAACCACATGCATGTACAAGAACATTCATGTTTAGGTGTCCCAAAGGCAAGAGAGCAATCACATACCAAGTCTGGAGCTTCCATGAGGCACACAGTGGAATAGATATGAAGCTATGGTTCCTTAGCTCTCTGCCCTTGGGCCATTTTCCTACCCAACCTCCACACTTCAATTTCCTCAGTGTCTGAAGAAGGGATAATGTCTGCCACTGAGCATTACCATGTGGGAATTAAATGAGATGCTGTATGCAGTGTGTTTGGTGGAATACGATGAAGTGTGGAAAGAGAACATTCTGCCAAGAGTGTGTGTTCGGCCAATGTTGCATTTGTCTCTTACCCTTGAATGAAGATGTCACTGTGTGAAAGAAAGAGTTGGCATTATCTATTGTCTTCCATAAAACGTAAGACCAAAGTGTGTCATTATATGGAGGACTGGGGCAGAATGAGGACAGTATAGAAATTTGTATATGGAAGTTTCCCTGTCCCGACTGCCTGTTCCCAAATAACTGATGCAGAGACTTAATATAAATTACAAATGTCTGGCCAATAGCTCAGGCTTATTACTAACTAGCTCTTACATTTTAAGTTAACCCATATTCTTTATCTATGCTCTGCCATGTGGCAGTACCTTTATTAGCATCATTTCCTGCTCTCTCTCTGTCAGTTGGCGACTCCAGATTCTGCCCTTTTTCCTCCCAGCATCCCCCTAGTCTGTGCCAGCATCGAGCACGTAGAAGCTTCTCTTTCCCTGCAAACTTTAAACTTGACAGGCAAACAGGCATGCACATGTGTTCAGAACTCCCCATGACTATGGGGGGCAGGCAGGGGACTGCCTGTTGGCAGAGCTGCCTTCTGCGCCTCTATTGAGAAATGGTCAACAGTGAACTCATTTTATTCTGTCTTCTTTCCATCAAAAGGGCCAGAGGACTGAGACAGGAAAGAAAACAGCCTGTTTCAATTATTATTCTCTTGACAGGCTTTTTATTGTCTTCTTAATACAAAAATAACTCCCTTTAAAAATATCCACTGAATTAAAAATCCCGAAAACAATTTAGAGTCACCCAGAGCCCGCTGGGTGTCTGTTAGAATGCCCTTTCCAATTTACTGTTTGAGCTGCATTTCATTTCTCTTATCATCCTGCATGTAAACTTCTTTTAAGCAAAGTTTTTATCCATGAAAAACTCATGCAGATTACTGTCATATGCAGTCTTGTAGGGTATGGCAGTATGCTGAGCCATGCTTTATGGTGCCAGGCGCTCTGTGGAGTCTTTAGAAAGTGATTCATGCTTGCAATTGCCCCAGCTGAGCACTGTGGTCCTTTCCTCGCTCTCAAACATCCCATCCTCATGGCACACCAGTATGTGACGTTCCGTGGCATCACAAAGTTAATATCCATCACAAATGTTTGTTAACTTGGAGGCACATAGATCTTAGCATGTTGAACACATTCTTATGTACCCACCTTTTCATATTTGTCTGTAGAAACCACCCTCAAATTCAGGAGACTCTTTGGGACTGGTCTGCGAAGCATCTTCCATCTGGAGAAGCACAGAGCTGCCCTGGGCACATGCTATGGTCCAGCAGTCCCGCTGACAGTGTGATCCTCTGATGGTCCCTTCTGGTGTGGCTGTGGATGGAAGTAGCCACTCTGTCTCCCATATGGCATAGTTCGTGATGTTGGGGAGAGGGTCTGCAATATTCTATGCTAGCTTTTCCCTTCCATTCTTCCAAGTCCTACAGACAACCCAAGATGTAAGCCCCAGATGTAAGAGAATGAGCTAGGTAGAAGCTGACCAGGCTCTCAGAATTGACCCTTGTGTCCATACCTGGGTCTTTTTAAGCGTGTGTCAGGTCCTGGTGTGTTTCATGATTTTCACCAGGCATTAGGTGGTGTATGATCTCCTGGAGCCAACCGATCAGGTGGCATGCGCCAGTGCCAATGCTGTGGAACTAAGGCAACAGCCCCAGCCGTGGAAGGGACTGAGCCTTTCTCTTCACCAAACTGTAAACAAAACAAATCTCAGAAAGATTGTATAATGGGAGCACAGTGGTATTTGTACTGAGAAACCGTCACATAAACCTTGTATCTGAACGGCAGAGTGACCTTTTCTGAGGGGCCTCAGCCCTACACCAGACGCAAATACCACCAGATTGCTTGGCATTTCCTTTTTAAATTTCAAGCGTTCCTGGTTTCAAATCAGCGATTGATCCGTTGGTTTGTAGCCTGTGTACAATTAAGTTAGTCACACTGCTGTTGGAGTCTAAGGAACCCAAGTGCTTTGAAGCCACTGCCCACCTCCAGCACATCAAGCAGGGGGCAGGGAGAGTGGTCTCCCAGCGCTAAAATGCTAGTGATCTTGTGCTTTGAATTGTGCACTGCCGTGCCAGGTCGTCCTCCAGGGACACATCTGTTTCCGTCTCAGCTCACATTAAGTCCTCGGGGAAGCTACAGAGTGGCTGTGTGAGGGAGCATCTGTTAGGATTCCATTTCTAGGGTGCAGCACACTACAGGGTGCAGGGGTGAGCAGCCTGGGTTGCCTACTGGGCTGCAATGCGAAGGCAGATATCCGCAGTTCCTGGGCAGGCAAAGGCTCCCAAGGTGGGTGTAGAGCGGGTGTGGTTTGTAGTCCTCCCATCTCTGGCCTAAAAGCCCCTTCTGGAATCACAGAAGCCCCGACTGGGGCAGGAGCCTATGCAGTCAAATTCCGTATTCAGAATGCAAAGTTGTTCAGATTCTGGTCATAATGCTTAGCTCTCCACTATTTAAATCTCCTGAAGAACTTTCTTTCCAGCTTCTATTAACCTGAGCAAGATGGCTGGGGAATGGTGTCTGGGTCGATGGAGGTTTGCTCTTTGGCGTACAACGTAGCATCAGGATTCTGATTGTGTTTCTCAGTGAGAGCCTACTAGTTTAGAAAGAACTTACCCAGTCAATCAAGGCTATCTGGCAGGTGAGGAAGGGGCTAATAGCAAGAACATTAACAAATGGAAGAAGAGCCCACTCATAAAACCAGCTCTTCCTTTCTTTGTGCTGAGCAATGGGAAATCAAGCTGCCTACATGTTAAGCAAGTGCTCCACCCCTGAGCTATATCCTGTCCCCAGTCATCATCTGTCCCTCCCCATACCCCCAGCTTCTCTGTGTCTATTGTGCCCTTCCTTCCTTCCTTCCTTCCTTCCTTCCTTCCTTCCTTCCTTCCTTCCTTCCTTCCTTCCTTCCTTCCTTCCTCTTCCTCCCCCTCTCTCTCTTGTCCTTTTGGGGTGGGGTGCTTTGCTTTGTTTTGTTTCAGACAGGATTTCCTAACGTAGTCCAGTCTGGCTTCAAACTTCAGATCCCTGCTGCAGCCTTCTACTCCGGCTGCAGCCCTTGTGCTTTAGAGTTAAGCGACCCCTTCACGCTGTCGCTATCACACTTAACTTGGGAAAAACCTTTCGAATACAGAGCTGTGCTCTCTACCCTGACTGTACTGTCCTATTGCGGGTCTACCCCACGCAGGAATGACTTTCCCTGCTCTATCTAGCGTGACTATATAACCAGCTCACCTAAGCCCCCGACTTATGTGTGTTGTCCCTGAGATTAATGCACTCCCATTCTCAGAAGAGTCCCCTTTTGGGTAATAGATTTTTTTCCCCTACATAGCTATTCTAATTGAAGGAAGAAAAGGAAGGAAATGAGCTTGTCTAACCATGGCTCCCTTTCCTTCTGCCACCACAGCTCCACTTGGCAGCCCTGGCATCACTCAAGGGAGACATAGTAGAGCTGAATAAACGTCTACAGCAAACAGAGCGGGAACGAGATCTTCTGGAAAAGAAGTTGGCCAAGGCGCAGGTAAGGGACCTGGATGGGTGTTTGTTTGTCTGACTTCTTTGTTTACCATTAAGTGTGTGTGTGTTTTGTGTTCGTGTGTGTGTGTGTGTGTGTGTGTAAATTTCAACAATACGAATGTGGATTTAGTGAGCACAGGTTCTAGGTGGGCTGCTAAAAACAAAAGAAAGAAAAACAAACCCCAGTAGAGACTAGATGGCTTAAACAGCTAACGCATCTCTGTGTAATGGGTGCCGGACCTCATGGCACCTGGCAGTTTGCTTCATAGTGAGGGTAGCTCCCCGTCTAGGTCCGCAGATGGTGGAGAGAATGAAGCTGTCTCTCATTTCTCTATATATCAGGGTACAAATCCTGTGCTTGAGGGTTCCACCCTCTTTAATCATTTCCCCTAAGCCCCACCTCCTCCTATGGTCACATTGGAAGCCTAGTAGAATTCAGCACTTGGGCGTTGGGCACAAGTGTTGGTTATTTTTGCTCTTACTCTTTTGCCTTTCGGGAAGGGGGCACTACCCAGCTCCCAAATAAAGCACACATGGAGGCTTATTCTTAGGAATGCCTGGCCTTAACTTGGTTTGTTTTTAGCCAGTTTTTCTTAACTTAAATTATCCCATCTACCTTTTGCCTCTGAATTTTTTTCTTTTCTTACTTCTGTCCTATTGTCCTTATTTCTTACTCTTACCCCATGGCTGGTGGGTGGCTGGGTGGCTGGGTGAGTGGCCCCCGACATTTTCCTCCCCTTGTTTTCTCATTGCTCCTTCCTCCTCCTCATTTCTCCTTCTCTTTATCCTCTCTACCTGCCAGCCCCACCAATCCTTGCTCCTCCCTCGCTATTGGCCATTCAGCTCTTCATTAGGACCCTCAGGTGTCCTAGACAGGACCAGTAACACAGCTTCACAGAGTTAAGCAAAGCAACATAAACCAAAGAACCACACCTTAAAGTAATATTCTCCAATACACAAATGCACTTCATAGCATCCTCACCCCCACTGCACACACAAGTCAGGAAACAATCTGCCAGCCACTCAGCACCTCCTTCTGTCCCTGTCTAATCGTTCCGCTCCCCTTCCTGTAAAGCTCACCTCTGTAATGACTTTTCTTTCTACTAATATTTCTGCTTCTTTAAAGTTTATCACTCGTGCTTGCATCCAGAAATGGAAGAGTTTAATCTTTTTTTTAAAAAGTAAAAATAAAAAGTCACTTTGTTCTAATGAATTCACATGAAATCAGGATACAGCTGTGCAAGGCAGCCACTCAAACGCTTTCTCCGTCCCAGACTCCAGTGAACGTCTATCTAGCTAGGTTGGCCCTTTTAAAACCTAAGGTTTTACTCCTCCAATATTAATTATGCTTTTATTCATTTATCCCACTACATGAAAAATCTACATGGAGCTGAAACTAGAAAGCAATCTTTTTATATCTGCTTTCATGGTTGATGTGCCTTTTGCCTGCATTCTGTCCTTCCTTACCACATTATATTACCCTCTGTTCTGTCTCATTTTGAATGTCCACACACACGCACACATGCACACACACACGCACACATGCACACACACATGTCCCTGCCTTACTTATCTTCCTGTGTTTTAGACTAGGCTCTGCATTTGAGGGACAACATGTGGATTTTTTTTTCCTTTCTACATTGGGGTGAGCTTGATTAATATATAATTTTTCAGTTCATCCATTTTCCTACAGATTTCATTTCTCCTTACAGCTGAATACTATCATGTTTTGTCGAACTTAATCTTACTCATTTACAAAGTAGGTATTCCCTTTAAATACTTAGGCTAGAAAGCCTTTTTCTCCATGCCTTGTTTGCTTTTTAATGATGATTTTTTTAAGCGTGCGCATTGCGCCTGGCTGTCTACACCTGTTGGTGACTGCAACACTCATGGCACAGTTCAACCCATCCTGCCTGTCCTGCCATCCAGAGGTGGGGTCAGACTCCTGTCCATCACCCTTGATAAAGCTGTGAGATCTATCCTTTCACCAGCAAACACATAGTGTCCTGCCCCATTGCTGATCTTTCTTAGATGTTAGCAACAGTTGATATGGAATATCTAGGCCGGTGGTTCTCAACCTTTCTAAGGCTATGACCTTTCACCACGGTTCCTCATGTAGTGGTGACCTCCCACCCGTAAAATTATTTTGCTGCTACTTCAAAACTGTAATTTTGCTAGTTATGAATCCTCATATAAATAATCTGATATGCAGAATACCTGACATGCAACCCCTAAGAAAGGGTTGTTCAATCCTGCAAAGGGGTCATGACCCACAGGTTGAGAATCACTGGCCTAAGTGTATTACTTCATTAGTACTTAAAATACATGACATTCTTTTCAGTTATCCCAAGGTTACTGCTTTTACTGGGAAATTTCCCACCTGCTGTTTGTTCAAACATAATGCACCTCAAAGGGGAAACATAAAACAAGCCCCTCAATCCTGCCATTTATTTAACCTTTGTCAGGAGGACACATTGATTTCATCGTGATGCTCTGAAAAATGTTCTCTTGCTTTTTAATATTATTAGGAATTTATGCATTTGAATATATTTGAATTTCAATCCGCTGTAATTATTTTCCTTATAAAAGCTCCAGTGGCACTATTTTTAGCCAGGTAGAGCCCCAGGTTCTTCATGAGTCTTATGTATGTACTGAATAGCCAGGCCAGACAGCCAGAGTACATTTTATATCCCCAAAACAAGAAGTGGCCGTTCTCAAAGCAACCACAGTTTTTCCAAGCAGACAGTATTTCCAGACCATTGTCTGGGAACTTGTGATGCTTGATGCTTTTAGGTTGCTCATTATATTGTGCCTCTTTTGGGGATAGAATCAGGAAACTATTTTTATTAACCAATGTGCATATGTATGCATTTAATGGACCTTGTATTTGTCCCTCCATTGCAGATTCAGACTGTGCCAGGTGCTTGCTTGAGCCCTGTTTTAAAATCCCACTTGTTTCACCTACGGGAATGTTAGAATATTCCATAATCATTCATCTGCTTTATCCCCCACTGCATACAAACAGTCCTGGAATAGCGATCCCACTATAGCTAACAGTTATTGAGAAATTCTTCAATTACTTTCTCTTTAAGTTATTTAGGCATTTGCAACTAATATTCCCTAGGATTTTTTTTAATATTAGTGTCTTCCAATTTATAGTTAGATCCCTCTGAACAGACTCATGGAAATAGTCCCCTGCAAAGTTCTTGAGTACCGATAACAGTGTGTCTGCCCCTGTCCTTCTGGGAGTCCTGCTGGGCTTGAGGCCCATAGCTCATCTGTTTCTCCTTGAAGGTGCTGATATCTTGCTGTCTCAGGCACCGGAAGCTGCTGTGGCACGTGACGACGACACAGCTTCCTCACGTTCTCAAAGTTCTTTATCTAGAGGAGTGATTCTCAATCTGGGGGTTGTGACCCCCCTCCCTCCAAGGTCACATATCAGATATCCTGCATATCAGATATTTACATCGTCATGGTATCAAAATTACAGTTATGAAATAGAACAAAAATAATTTTGTGGTCGGGGGTTCCACAACATGAGGAAGGGTCGCAGCGTTAGGAAGGCTGGAACCATTGTTCTAGATAGTCACAGGGTTCTTTCATCTTCTTCTTTCCTTCCTTTAAATCAATTCTTTTTCCTTCCCCCTTTGCAGAATTTTACCAGATTTAGTCTTCCTCCTTTTGTTTGACAATCACGTTTGCTCTGTACTCTTTTGATTATATTTGTTGTTTTTTTTTATTTTAAGGAAGTAATGGCTTTTGATTGTGAGTGTGGATGTTTTGCCTGCATGTCGGTATGTGCACCAAGTCCAGGCCCAGCTCCCGAGGTGGTCAGCAGAGAGCGCTGGAGCCCCTGGGACTAGAATTACACAGGGTTGTGAGCTGCTGTGTGGTGCTAGGAATAGAACCCAATCTCTAGCAGCGCAGTCCACCCACTGATCTTAACAACTGAGCCATCGCTCCAGTTCCTTTTCTGGGGAAGTTTTTAATAAATTATGTGACTTACTATTAGTTTTACTTTCTGGCTTAGATTTCTCCATCATTTGGATATTGTCTCCTCTTTGCCCATCTTTAGTTACTTCATTGTCTCAAGTCCCTTGTATGTCTTTTTAAATATATGTTGTCTCTGTGGTTTTCTCTTCCTCTTTTATGCTTTTTGGCTTAGTGTCCATTCCTAAAATGGCATTTTTATTTCGAATTCTGTACTGCACACACTATCACCTCATTTCTGACTTTTTCTGATTATGAATTGTGTGCATTTATGCCTCACACCTGTTTCTTAGATCTTTCATTGATTTTAAAACAGGCTATTGTGTGGGGAACATTAATTCATTGCGTAGAGTATTTTTACAATTAATGGAAAGAATATTGGACTGCCTTTTTTTTTCTTGTACAGAATTTGACCTCAATGTTTTGCTAGGTTTTGCTTTGATGTGATGTGAAAGGCCAATCTCCTTGGTCTTTATTTACCTACTTTTAAAGACTTTTTAACATTTTTTTAATTGAGTGTGTGTGTGTGTTGTGTGTGTGCGCACACAGGCCAGCAGAGGGCGTCACGTCCCCTGGAGCTGGAGCTACAGGCAGTTCCAAGCTTCCTGGTGTAGGTGCTGGGAACCAAACTGGGCTCTTTCGCAGGAGCCGTCCACACCTGTAACTACCCAGTCATCTCTGCACCTCCTCCTGGAACTTTTCGGAATGGGGGTTTATGAAGGTGGTTTCAGATCAGAGCACGTGTGATAGCCCCTTCTCCACCTTCCTGGCTCTGTGCCTCAGTTTCATTTATGTCTGGAACTTTCCTTTTCCTCTATCATCTCCATCCTGATCTGTCTGGGTGCTGCCCTGAGGTTTTTCTTGCTCTAGAGGGGAACTCTGCAACCAGTTTACAGTTCACAGGGCCTAGACTGCCTCGGCCTCTCCTGCCTCACACCCTGACATCAATCAGCACAGCCCTCCTGGGTTTCCCTGTTTTCTTAGGCTTTTCCTGTGAACACCTATTGGAATTTT